CGTCGTCCTCCCGGTCCTGCTCCTCATGCTCCTGAGCTCACCGTGGTGACGACCAGCCTACAGGAGGCTCATAAACACTGCAAGGAGGGGGAGGGGGAGGATCGAGGAAGAAAAAACGCCATGAACATAAACTTGCGGAGCTCTGCGCAGATGTCTTGGATCGGCACTGGGCCCCGCTCTCTGGCGCGCGGGGTTCCAGCTCCAGTCCAAGAAATCCGAGCGGAGCTCCCAAAGTTTATGTTCATGGCGTCCTTTCTTCTAGGCGACGTGGAGGAGGAGGAGGTGGCGGAGGAGGAGGAGGTGGCGGAGGAGGAGGTGGCGGAGGAGGAGGGGGAGGAGGAGGGGGAGGAGGAGAGGAGGAGGAGGGGGAGGAGGGGGGGAGGAGGAGGAGGAGGAGGAGGAGGAGGGAGGGAGGGGGAGGAGGGGGAGGGGAGGAGGAGGAGGAGGAGGAGGGAGGAGGAGGAGAGGAGGAGGAAAAGGAGGAGCGGATGTGGGCCGGGCGGGAGAGCATGGGAGAGCCACCGCTGCTCGGGGGTTAAATATGGGGCCCTGAGGGATGGGGTCCTAAGTGAAAAGCAGAAAAGCTGCCCTCCTCCTCCTCCTCCTCCTCCTCCTCCTCCCCTCCTCCTCCCTCCTTCCTCTCCTCCTCCTCTCCTCCTCCTCCTCCTCCTCCTCCTCCTCCTCCTCCTCCTCCTCCGCCACGTCTTCATTTACCTCCGACGTCTTATCACGCATCCAGTCACCCTCGAGGGCCGAGGTATCCAGGGTCGGCGGCACTGGCCGTAAGGCCTTAGCAATAAGAAGCAGAAACGCTGCCCTCATAGTAAGCACCCGAATGAGCAAAGCAGTTTAGTAAACGCACCCGAGGAAGGAATCGAACAGGGCAGGGCTGTTTCATTCGATGCCCCGGTCCATCTAGTCCGCGCACATTATGGGTGTTGGGGTGGTTTTGTATCCCTTCGCTAATGATAGGAATGGGGCCCAGGCGGAGTTTACACTGTTTGAGGCCCCTCGTCCTTCGGGCCCCATTCCTCAAGGCCCCATCTCTGAACCACCGAGCTGTGCTGCTCCCAGACTGCCCACTGCCGCGGAGCAGCCTGTGGGGAGCAGCGATACCGACCAGTACGCTCGAACCTAGTTTGGAGCCTAAGTGACCAAGAAATGCCAGCTGTTCCTTTCATGTGCTTCGTCTTCTTTCCCATATGGATGATCTCGGCAACGCCGCGTTCACATCGGCGACCCACGACTCGCTGTCTGAAATGACAGACAGCTGGATGGGAAAGCGCGCCCAAATTGGTGCATACAGAAACGCAACCACTTGAACTGTAAATAGATACCCGTCCCACAGGGTCCTTTCCACATGCCAGCAACCGCACCCTGACGAACACGTACATCTGAAAGCCTTGTTAAGTCGCGAAGCCTTATGCACCGTGCGATTACAATCGCCATGCGCACCCAGCACCAGAGAAATTAAGAAAACAAGGGACGCGCATTTAGCAAACTGGGCTGCCGCAATACCTGCCCGCACCAGAACGTAACCTGAGCACGCATTGCGCGCCCGATTGCATGCACATCCGCGTAAATACGCTCGTACACAAAGTGCGCATACATCTGGTAATGCGATGGTCCCTCGGCGTGCGTCCGACCGAAACGCATAAGAAGCCTGTAAGGAAATCCGCCGACCATGTCGGCGTGTGTAAGGGGCTTGTCTGTTCGAGTCGTCGTCTCCGTCGTCCCCTTTCCCTGCGCCCTCCTCGCCTGTCAGCGAGGAACATCGAGCAATTTCGTAGTCGAGTCGAAGGGAAGCCCCTTCTCTTTCACCCATACCCCGTCGGGGGGGGGGTCCAGGTGGGGTAGGGGGGGTCTCGCTCACTCACACCGTACCCCCGCGGACCCTGTCAAACACCACTGGACAGCGATCGTGGGGTGGCCGCGCACGATTCAGATTGAGCCGCGAAGTGCATGTTGTGCTGTTTTTTGACGGGGGAGGTGGTCTTGCGCAAAGCAGGCAATATGAGGGCACCCCCGCCGTACTGGTCAAATAACAATACAACATGTTCGCGGAGCCCACCAGCATGATCCAAGACTCTGCCCCAAAGTGTGTGTTCGTATGGCTTTTGACAAGTACGTGTGGAGGGTCTCATTGGTCCTGGTTGGCTGCCAGTCGCCTGGGGGAGGGGGTGTTTAAGTAGGGAACAGCGATACGATGATGCAGGGGGGGGCCGGGGGGGATGGGTCAGACACGCATCCACCCCTGGGAGTCCTGGGGCCTCCGAAAGTACCAAGACAGGCCAAGAGTGCCCCAAGAGGCCCCCGAGACGGCCCAGAGGGCCCCAATCGCCAAACTATCGGTCCAAAACGCCTTCACACCCTCCAGACTGCCCAGGAGGCCGCCAAAACGTCCCAAGAAGCCTCCAAGAGCACTCCCGAGGAAGGGCCCCACGAGATACAATTACTTGATTTCCCTTGGGTCTTTTCAGGATTTGGGCGTTCTCGCCTTTTCTGCTCCCCGCCGCTCCAGGACGGCCCAAGAGGCCCCCAAGATCGCCCAAGAGGCCTCCGAGAGGGCCCCCTACACAGCCAAAGAGCACCCCACGACACCCCACAACGCCTCCCAGACAGCCCAAGAGGCTTCCAAGACGGCCCAAGAGGCCTCCAAGATGGCTCCAAGAGCGTGCCCAGACGGGGGACCCGAACGGACATTTCGGACTCTCGGCCCCGAGAGGTTCCCAGAAGGATTCAAGAGGCTCCCAAGAGGCCCCAAGTGGCCCACAAGAGTTCCCCAAGAAGCCCGAAGTGGCCCCAAGAAGCTCCCAAGAGGCCCCCAAGAGGCTCCCAAGAGGCCCCAGAATTCCTCCCCAGAGGCCCCCTGGGCCTCCCGAAGAGACCCTGAAAAGCATCCCTCTGGTCCACGTCGACGTCGTCGTCGTCGCCGCCGCCGCCGCCGCCGTCGCCGCCGCCGCCGTCGCCGCCGCCGCCGCCGTCGCCGCCGCCGCCGCCGTGGTCGTCGTCGTCCCCCCTCAGGGTCGGTGGCACCAGCCGGAGGGCCATCGCAATATGATCGGCTGCAATGCCGTCCAGGCTACGCTGTGCCTTAGCGTCTTGGACTCGTTTCGGCATCTCTCTGGGGCCGTGTTGGGCCCTTCCGTCCCTTGTGGCTTCGAGAACGCCGTGCACGGGCAGTGCAGGCGGAGAAATCCCACCAGCCGTCTGCCATGGGCTGAGTGGTTTAGCGAGTTATTCCCAGTTCCCTGCCACAGACCCTCCTTCCCCTGCTCGGGGGAAGGTTTCACCCCCCCCCCTGGCCCCCCCCTGGGCCTGGGAGGGGGGGGGGGGGGCGAGACGTTAGAGCGCCCAAGATGGCCAAAGATGGCCTCCAAGATTGCGCAAGATTCCTCCACCTCGCTCAAGATAGCCTCCGACATGCTTCCAAGACGTTCAAGACAGCCCCAAGACGGTTCCAAGTGCCCTTCGAGCCTCCCAGGGCACCCCCCAAGAGGCCAACAGCCTTCAACAACCTACAGGAAATCAATGTTGTTGGGCGTCTCGTTGTTCGCTTCCGATGGGCCTCTTGGGCCTCAGGATGGCCCAACAGTGACCCAAGAGAGGCCCAAGAAGGGCCCACGGCGGCCCCAAGGCGGCCCCGAAAGCGCCGAAGAGGCGGCCGCGAGCGGCCCGCGAGGCCCCCAAGAGGCCATCGTGGAGCCTCCGAGGGGGGGACCTACGTTTGTCACCCCCCCTTCTTCGATCGATCTCCTCCAAGACGTCCCCACGAGAGCCCGAAGGGGCGCCCAGCACCACCAGGGAGGCGCCCAGCATCACCGGGGAGGCCCCCACGCGAGAGGCCCCCAGGAGGCCCTCAAGAGGCCCCCACGCGAGACTGAAGAGGCTCCAAGGGGCTCCTCCAAGGCATCAAAGACGCTCCGAAAGGCCCCAAGGACCACCAAGACATCCTCCTCCTCATTCTCCTCCTCCTCCTCGTCCCCCTTCTCCTCCTCCTCCTCCTCCTCCTCCTCCTCCACCTCCTCCACCTCCTCCTCCTCGTCCTCCTCGTCCTTTCATATTTGGTGGAATATAAGATTGTTTTGTCCTAAACCCTTTCGGACAAAAAACATTCGCAACGAGTGACACATCCAGGGCGGTATGCAACATCCTCCCTCCCCTCCCCTCCCCCTCCCTCACCCCCTCCCCTCCCCCTCCCCCGCCCTTCCTCCTCCTCCTCCTCCGCCTCCTCCTCCTCTTCCTCCTCTTCCTCCTCCTCCTCCTCCTCTTCTTTGCATTGTTATTGTTAGTATCATCATTATTCTCACTACTACGATTGTTAACAGTGTTATTTACATTATGATCACTGTGATGATTAATATTGTTAGCATCATCATATTCATCGTCATTATTATAAGCCGCTTGAAGCGACAAAATCGTATGCCCCAGCGCCTTACATGAATTGGGGCAGAAGAACTGATACGGCAGCTGACGCGGCTCTCTACTTGTTTCTCCTTCTATGGGCTCTCTACTTGTTTCTCCTCCTCTTTCTTCCATGGTCCCAAGAGGGCCCCTTAGGTTCCCAAGAGGCGCTCCAGGGGCTCCAAGACAACCCCCAAGAGGCTTCCAAAGACTCCCAAGCGGTCTCAAAGAGGCCATGAGGCCTCAAGAGCCTCTTCCCCCCCAGAAGCAGCCAAGACGCTTCAAGAGGCTCCCAGGACTGCCAAGAGACGCCCAAGACGCCCCCAGAGGCCTCCAAGAAGTGACCAAGAGGGGCCCCAGAAGGCCCCAAGAGACGATTTTGACGGTCCCAGAGGAGGGGGCCAAAATCCGACCAGCCCTTTATGGCGTAAGTGGTTTTGATACCCCCTCTTCCGCCCCCTTCTTCCTCGTCTGTACCCCCCTTCCCCTAGACCTGGACGGGGATTTTCGCGAGCGATCAGAGCGTCCAAGATGGGCCAAGATGGCTC